AATGTGTGTACAGAAGCTAGAGAGGGTGACTGGGCTCTGAATCACATGAAAGACTGCCTGAGTCCTGAGAGTGAGAAAGACTCCGTTCTCAGGCCTGGGCTAGTGTCTCTCACTTCTGGAGCTCTCTCCACAATGTTAGTGTCAAGGACTCAGGAGTCGGACAGACAGATATAAGCATGCTCCCATCTTGGCCTTTCCGCTTACTGGCTATAAGCCTTTAGGCAAATCACTTCAACTCTTGAGCCTCAGTTTACCAAACTCCCTTTCCTCCATTAAGATACTAGTATCTCCTGGGGTTGTTGGTAAAATTAAATGATATTATACATATAAATTGCTTCAACAGTGCTGCCCTAAGGTGAGTACTCAACACAAATTCACTATTACTGTCTAGTTCCACTCCTTGCCCCATGCATACCTGTCTTTGTCTCCTTTTCAGTTTAAGCGCATGTGTTTGTCTACGTCTAACTTCACTTTATTTACAACCCAGCCCTGGCTGTGCAAAGTCCACCAGCTTCCTTGGCTCCACCTTCTCCCCCCAACGAAGCACTATTTTCTACCAAGAAAGTTGCAAAACCACCTTGTTTAGTGGTTAACTCAGCCCTTACTTCCTTCCTGCCAACCCTCCCTTCCTTTGCGTGGGGAGTGGTTCTTCTTAGGTGCAGCGGCTGGAAGAATAAGGAGTCAAGTGAGGCTAGAGTCGGTGTGGCATACCCCAGAGTGGACCTGTACTCCCAATGCTCACAAGGCTCAAGGCAAAAAAGGGCTGGAAGGCATGGGAGTGTGTGTGCTGAGGAAACACAACCACCTTCAATTCTGAAACTGAAGATGAGTATCATCATCCTGAAAACATAGCGAGCGCCCTGGGCCCAAAGTTTCTTGTTGCCATAAGCAACAGGGCCAGGCGTCACGGCACATACACTAGGCTGTAAATGTTCTTTCTTAACTAGGGTTCCCAGAGGGGAGAGGAGGTACAGATGCTCCACAGATGTGTGTTGAAAAAAATGAATAAATTCTACCTTTGGATCACTTTCTATCAAAGGCCCACCTAGTGTCAATCCCCAAAGTCCTGCACTGAGAATTCTGCCCAAATTTGTCTAGTTTAGTGCCTTGAAAGTTAGAATATAGATATTCAGGAAGAAAGAGCAGGGACAAGAGACAAAGTAAATGTGGCAAAGTGTTAACACTTAGTGAAATGGGTACAGAATATTCCAGTATTCACTGATTTATTTTCACTTCTGTGTAGGTTGAGGTGGGAGGGTAGAACTTAAAAAAAAATTCACTGCAGACATGTTTGGTGGATATAGTTCCTCACCATGACTCTTTCCCATAATCATTTATTATATCTTAGTTAATTCTCTCAATTGGGGTAATTTGAATAGGTCCTGTACATTAGATATTATGAAATTTTATTAAAATTTTTTTCTTAGGTGCAATAGTGATACTATAGTTACGTAAGGAACCCTTGCATTCAGGATATATGCTGAAGTAAACTCTCCTTAATAAGGCCCTAATACACTTGCCAGTCTTTTCTCCCACCACTCCTTGCCTGAAGGGATTTCCAGATGCCTTGCCTTGCTCCTGCTGGCTGGAACGCTCCCTCACACCTTGCCTGAGGAACTGCTACGGCCTCCACGACAAAACCTCCCTCCATTCTCAACTTTTCTGTCCTTGGCATTCCCATGGCAGCGCAGTTCTCTCAGGTCACTTATTTTACCTTTTTATTGTTTTTTAAGGACTTTATTTATTTATTTTTAGAGATGGGGAGGGGAGAGAGAGAGGGGAACATCTATGAGATGTGAGACAGAAGCACAGAGAGGCCTCCCCTCACCTCTCGTATGCACATTGACAGGGGGCGACCCGGACATGTGCCTGGATGGGGAATCAAACCCACGACTCAGGCATGTGTCCCAACCAGGAACTGAACTTTTGCTTGGTGAGACAACACCCACCCAACTGAACCATATGGGGTCTGGGTGACTTTTTTTGGTTTGTTTGTTTTAAACTAGATCGGAAGCTTCTAGCAGGCAAGAATGCCTCTAACTCCTCTCTAAATTCTCTCCTGGGTCCAGCTGGGTATCCAGGACAGGAGTTTTTCTCTAAATATTGTTGACTGAATTGTCTGGGACACAAGTTGAGTAAAAGTCAACACAGGAAAAGACCAACAAAGGAGTGGTAAAAATGCTCTTTCTTGGGGAATCAGAAATCTGAAAGGTCCGCCCTGGACATAACACAAACAGTTGGTGAAAATGTGAAGATGTGTCAAATTGTAAAAAAACACTGTAAAGCCAGTTTGAATTGTCTCATGTAGAGTCTGGGTGGGAACTGGGAAATAAAACAAGAACGCTTCACCTCCGCTGTGTTTAACAGTCACCAGACCTTCCACTCCTAGCTTTTAAGCCGCAGGTGCCTGAGCAAAAGGTGTTTCCATGCCCAGCTTTGCTCCTGAGAAGAGGTCAGCAGGAAGTGGGCGGGCACAGATATCAGACTGGGGCTCCTTAAACAGAACAGCCCGAGTCTGGCATCCAAAGAGGCAACACACCTGGGCTCCAGTGATAATTCTGCCACATGCCAATCTCTTTTGAGCCTTATTTCCTCATTTCTAAAATTGGGATGCTAATAACATGCTTAAGGGTTGAAAAGATGAAGTGAGAACATATCATGAGTATGTTGGCTCCATAAAGGGAAAGATCATGCCTTTCTGAAGTGGGCGCTTGATATGTGACACATTTGACTATTTGACATGTTAGTTATTACATACTGTTCAGAATATTATAGCCAACTGCTTACAGAAAAAATGCAAAGTTTGCCAGGGAGTCCTTTCTTTTGACTGTAACTTTTGCCATCTTTACCCTGCCTTCAATAACTTCTCATTCAACAGTAAAAAAATAAAAATAACTTCCCAAGATGCAAAGACTCTGGCAGGCTGAACTGAGCTCCTCCCCACATTCCAGGCCATTCCCCCTCCATGCATGCGGCGTCTGCTGCGTTTAGGGTGCTAGCTCAACTTCTGCCTGCCACTGTGCCTAAGTCTGGGTTCAGAGTATCTTCTGGTTTTCTGCAGCAATCTGGGGATCCTCAGGGCAGATTTGAGTTTGTTCTTCACTCTGCTGTTTCAAGGTTCAGACCTGGAAAAACAGGGTGTACCCAGGCAGCTGGTTTTCCCTTTGGAAAGTATTTGACTCTGGTTTAGTGAGTCTTCTCCCCTTTTCACTTGGGTGTCTTTACCATTTTGAGTTTCCAAATTGCTGAACACCAACTCTCTCATTTTACAAATGCAGAATTTGAAGCCCAGAGTAGGGACTTTATTTACCTAAGGCTTAGGAATCCATGCTTAAAAAAGGAGAGAAATCACAGAACAAGGGCATAGCATTAATGATAGGCTGGATGAGGACAGAAGGTGAAAGAGTGAGGTAAAATCAATTTCTGTGTTTTTAAAAAATAATTATTCTCCATAAGTTTTTGTCCTTTGGGTTTTCTTTTTGTTTTCCCAACCCATGGTGTAGCTGGCCTTCCCCTGTTGTCCAGTACCTCTGGTTTCTCCACACTGCTTCTTACTAGACCTTCACGGAGACTCTGACCTCTATGCATGCATCAGATCCGTAACAAGACAGCCTTTTGAAACCACGATCAAGTTGAAGTTAGGGTAAGGTGAAGTAACAAAGGCTAACCACACGAAATCTTTCCCTTTTCCTCTGCTCTTTCACAGCACTCGGCTTCCATTTCCCCGCCCCCCCTTCTATTATGAACCTCTTTAAAGATAAGGACTATATCTACATTCCATCAATTCTCTGTTGATAATCCCACTTGGGAGAGCTGGTTGCCTTTAATCCTTCCAGGACCAAGCCAGTGCTCTGCTTTTCAGAAGATGACACAAATATTTCAATTCTTAAGCATGTGATATTCATCCAAATGCTTCTAAGACCATGAATCCTTAGAAAAACCACAGTTCTATGCCAGGGCCTTCTTATCTTTCCCTCACCCTTTTCTTCTGGTTTTCGTCTTCCCATACCATCTCATCTACCTGAGTGTTAACAGGGGGAGGGCAGAAGCTGACGTTAGAAGCAAAGAAAACACTCTGGGTAGGTGGAAACAAGAATGCCACGAACTGTGTAGCGCAGTGTGCACATAATTTACATAGGTAGGCAAGTTACAGAAGGACAGCCTGCCTAAGTGCTAGCGCTGCAACAGGAGCACCATTAACTAATCAAGGGCACAATTTAAACTGAGAAGCACCTTCATCACCTTGGGATGGTCCTCTCCAACGCCAGAGGCAGAGTACAGGAAGCAGATAAGGGCTACTCTTACGTCAGCTTAAACAACACCTGGAGGCCAGGCAGGCTTGGGAACGGAGTCGTACGGAGGACTCCAGCCCTTGGCCTCCCAGTCCACGTCAACCAGCAACACTCGCAGGCAGCACAGCTGGTCGTCTTTGTCTCATGACTTTGGGGGGAATTACCTCCTTTGAAGCCTCATTGTCATCATCTGCAAAATACCATCCTTGCTGGGTTGCTAGGACAAAAACTGCTACACAGCAGTCGCCAATGTTAGTTCCTTCCCTTCATCTTTTCCTGGGCCAGGCAGAGCGTTAAGGCTCCTGAGAGAGACTGGGGTCTCCGCAGCGTCCCTCATCCTCGCCCAAGACTGGGTGATGTTCTCCCTCTTTCTCTCTCTCTCTCTCTCTCAAGTCTGCTTGTTTTCATGGACCTGTCTCCACTCCCGTTTCCCGGGGGAAGCCGGACACCCTCCTCTTCAGCCCAGACCAGGACCCCTCGGCACCCTGTACACCCCTCTCGTCACCTCCAGCCTCCGCCGGAATGGAGGCCCCCACTGACCTTCTCCTGGGCCCTGCTGAACTTCTTCTGCATCTGCTTGGCAAAGACGCCGGCAGCACCGCCAGCCTTGCCCTCTGCCATCCTGTGGGTCCCCTGGGGGCGCCGGCCCTGGCGGCCTGGGCAGGAGCCCTGTGGTTTTCTGGAGGCCGCTGAGGAGGAAGTGCAGTTCCCAGCATGCCTCGCTTCCGGCCCTGGTGGGCGGGGCCCCGACTTCCCCTCCGCAGCTGCCCCTGCACGACAGGACACGTAGCCCGTGGCTGCCTCGGGACCACCCAGCAGCGAGCCCAGGCCCCATACAGCGGCCACCGTGAGCAGGCCCACTGTGAGGTTCGCTTGGGCCCACTCCAGCCCAGCCAGCACTGACCCCTGAAGCCCTCCCCGAGGCCCACCGTGGTCCAGCGCTGGCCGTGGCCCTCAGGGCAGAGGCCGGGCTGTGCAGAGGAGGCTGGAAACTTGGTCCCGCCCGCAGGCAGCCCGCACTCAACACCAACCTTAAAGTTGTCCAGCCCTGACGTACAGGAGGACCAGCAGCCCCATGAACAGAGTTTTCAAATGTGGGCCAGTACTCATTCATTCCCGAAAGGTAATTATCTAGAATGATCCATGCTCGAAAATAACTACGGATGGGGTAGAAAATACTGTGCTTTTCACTCAGCAGGAGTACTTACTGTATGGGAAAACACGTTCCACTTATATGGGTATGTACACTGGGTTGCCAAATAAAGTATACTTCTTTAGGTTAGTTTTTAAAGATGGAAAGCCCCTATCAGAGAGGTTGGCTCTAAGCCTAGAACTGGTAGGGTTAGAGTCCACACTTGAATTTGAAAGGCAAGAACAACTGAGGTGTAGATAGAAATGGGGGTCCTTGGGAAAGCAGAGGGTCTTGTTGAAAAAAGTCGTAGGAGGAGAGTATGGAAGCGGGTGCTGGGGAGGGAGAGCAAATCATTCCAGCTTGATAAACGAGCACCATGTACTAGAAAGAGGCAGAAGGTGAAGACAGACACAGATTGCAAAGCTGGGGCGGGACTGCTGCTGTCACAACTGTTGCTTCTCTAGGTGGAAGGTCTCTAACAGGAAGTTACTCTTTGACCTGTTTAAGCAAATAGCTGGAAATTAGGACACTAGGTCTGGAGGAACTATTTACTTAAGGATGTTACAGTGCAGATGAAATTCCCTTAAGGAAGGGAAGAGGGTCAAAATGTACTTCCTAAGGAGTGGAGAAGGAAGCTGGACACCTGGGACGGAATTAGAGGCCGTCGTCCACTGTTGTTTTCCACGTCATTCCCCCAGGTGGATGTGCTACACTCAAGATCAGTTGTGTGACGGGCACCGCAGAGTGCTGGGAAGCCAAAGATGAATTAAAAACATGTGACCTCTGCCCTGGTCAGGTGGCTCAGTTCATTGGCCCTTCATCCGCACACCAAAGTGTTGCAGTTTCCATTCTGGTCAGGGCAAATGCCCAGGTTTCTGGTTCCATCTCTGGTTGGGGCATGTGTATAGAGAAGCGACTGAATCAGTATTTCTCTTCCACACTGGTGTGGTTGTCTGTCTGTCTGTCTCTCTCCTTTCTCTCTCTCCCTCTCTGCCCCTTCTTCTCACTTTAAAATCAATAAACATTTCCTTAGGTGAGGATTTAAATAAATAAATAAATAAATAAATAATCTCTATTCTCAGAGAGGTAGAGAAAGGTTGGTAATCAGATGATTATAATGTTAATGTTATATATGTTACTCACTTATACAGATAGGTACACTTTTTCATGTAATAGGTCAGTAGGTTTATTTGGAATGTTAGTTGTGAGTTGGTCTAGAAGGGCAGAATGAAGAAAATGGAAGGACTTGATGTTGGATAAAGAGAAGTGGGGAGAGGTCCAGAGAGTGGTGGTACTTGGGGACAACTGAGAAAAGATGGTGGTGTTAACAGGTGTGTCATTGACAGAAGGAGGCCAATATCCGTGTCACTCTCAGGAATCCACAGCATCTTCAGCAATGCAGTCCAGCCACTGCCTCCTAAGAAACTCTCTGCAGTGCTAATCTCTTTGGAACTGAGATTGATGGTCACCAAATCATGTACTATTAGAGCACAAATAATCTAGAAGTTAACTAGATAGGGAAATTGAGTCACAGAACTGGCTGGCGGCTGGCTCAAGGTTTCCCATTCCTCATTTGTGAAACTGAGACTGGGAATATAAGCTTCCTGATTCCAGCCCGCATTCTGGTAATGTATACACTGTTCCAGAGGCCTCTGCTGACACAGCAGCCTCCAGACTCCAGGACCTGTCTTAGCAGGTTTCCCCTGCTGTAATGTTAACTACCCTGGTCCCTCTTATTCTGTCCTCAGTGACTGCTGGGGAGAGTTGCTTCTCAAAACAGCTGTCCCAAGGAAGTCCACACCATGCATCTAGGAGGGTTTGGGGAACAAGCTTCTGTGGGAAGCGGGAGAAAGATTCTAGGAAGAACTGTGGCCAGGACCAATGCCACCCTGAGCCACGGAGTACTCTTTCATTGAATATAAGAATTTTAAGCTGATACACCGGCAGTGTGCAGCTTTCTTCATTGTGGTTGAAGTTAATGACACTAAGAATGAGATGGCATTTTATGAATTTGTCCAATAATTTGTAGAAGTTGTAGTTCAGTACTTCAGCTGGGTGAGTGAATTATATGTGATGTTTAATTTGGATAGAATATACATCATTTTGGATGAGATAGTGTTAAATGGCTGCGTTGTAGAAATTAATTGGGCAAGAATTCTTGCCCCTTTCCTGATTCTTGACAAGATGTCAGGAAGCTGCATAATGGAAGGCTCTGCCAGGCGTCATCGACGCAGGAAATGAGAATGTGGGACACCTCGCAACGTCAGTAGCCCAGAAGAGCATACATTGCAAAATGGAGCATCCTGCCAAAGACATTTTAAATAGGTGTTTTTCACAGTTTCTAAATGGAAAACAAACTTATATTTTAAAATATGATGCACAAAGGAAAGTAATCTCCGGGAGATGTTTTAGTTTCTAACCATAAGCATTTCCCTCTAATTGTTTAAATTTTGTTAAATAAAATTTTTGCTTTCTGCTTTTCTTTGCAAACTAAATTCAAGAATGGCAGCATGAGGTGGGAAGAAAGTGTGGCAGCCTATATCAACCAATAAAAATTTAAAACTAACTAAAAAAAAAAGAAGAAAGTTGCTTCTCATCCTCTTAGGCTTCTCCTCTGTTTCCTCTTCACTCTATCATAGAACACACTAACGGACTGAGCCCTGGCCAGGATGAGGCAAATTATCTGCTTCCCAGTTCTCTGTGGTTTATAGAACCCTGAATTAGGCTGCCTATGTTAGTCCCAGCCTTGAAGTGCTGACTCATACTTATTTAAGGATATATGAGGTCTGTCCAGAAGGTATCTAGCCATGTACTATGAAAAAGAGAGACATTTATTGAAGAAGAGACAGAAGACATTGTACACAGGACAATGACACTTCAGTTCCTTTCAAAGTAGGCACCCTGAGCCTCACATAGTTCATGTAGTTGCCATCAGCTGCCCCATCATATTTTTCTGAATCTCATCAATGGTCTGAGATCTCTTCCCTTTCAAAGGTGATTTTAGTTTTGGGAAAAGCCAGAAGTTGCAGAGCATCAAATCTAGGCCGTAGTGGGTCTGAGTCACCTGGGTACTTGATATTTTGCTGAAAAACTCTCTGTGGGACGTGAGGCATGAGTGAGCATGTTGTTGTGATGAAGCTGCTAATCAGTTGCCCATAGCTGTGGTCTTCTGGACCATCTGAATAGTTTCCACAGAGGAATGTTCAAACTTAATGCAAAATTTGATACAGATTTGTTGCTCTTATCAGTCATTTTGAATGCAATGGCCACACAGTACACATGCTTACTCACCAGCTTCTACCACCCCCACTGACTAGTACAGTGAAGGTGAAGTTGTCATTGTTCATGCATGTGCATTCTAGTCCACTCTCCTTGGCTGCCAGCTTACACTGATGTTGCACAAACTGTTGTTGTTATATTAACAATGGCTGCACTTTTATTTTTTGAAAGAATATATATTTCCCCCCAAAAAATACTTGTGAGCATTTCATGAACTTTCCTCTGTGAGGCTTCAAGCTACCAGGACACAAGACCACCAATACCCTTAATCTTCTCCTCAACCCTTTTGCTGAAGAATTTGGCCATTGTGATGACAGGCCGCTTTGGGAGCTTTCCCTTCCCCAGAACTTGGCCCGATTGCACCACATCAATGACGGGAGCAGCTCCGGTCTTGTTTTTGGCAGCATTTACCTGTGTCTGCTCACTGACCAAGGTCCACAGTGTATCAAGGTTGACAGTTGGGCAGAAGCTCTCGTTCCTCTTTAAGTGGTCATGCCTCATACCAACTTTCCCAAAGTAACCTGGGTGATAGTTATCAAAGTTGATCCTGTGATAATGCAAGCCACCAGCATTACCTTGACCTCCCAAATGCTGCTGGTGCTTGCAGATGCAACTATGGCTGTGGCTCACGTGAAGTCCCATATTATTGACTCCTCTCCCTTTTTGTTCTGCCCCTTCCCCTTAATTCTTTCTTTTCTTCATTCAATGTCTTCTTTTATCCTTTTTTAATCTTTCCTTCCTAGTCTCCTTTTTTATTTGCCACTTTCTTTGCTGGCATCTGACTTCCCACCTAATCCTGTATTCCTATCTCTAGTGTATCCTACCAAGAAGTTGCCCTCATCCAGAACCTTGGAGTGAACACTGGTTCTAGGCACTGAAGGAGGAAACAAAAAGGAGGAGCCACATAGCGTGGCTGGGAGATCAGAGCACATTGTGTAACTCAGGAGCATTTAAAAGTACTCCAAGCCTTTAAATATAGCAAATAAGCATAGAAGGAGGGCAGATGAGCAGATTAATGGATAGGTAGATCCTAAAATACAAGGTAATTCAAAAAAGATCATGTAAACCCATTCCCACTTGGCTTAGTTTGTGAACTGGCAGAGGTGGCAGCAAATGGAAGAATCAGCCCAGAAATGTGCAATCCAGCTTGGGTCGTCTAACTGCATTTCTTCTAAAGAGCTTACTCGCAAATAAAAAGACACAAGCTGATAATGTATATGCAGTTTTACTTGCTTTTCCATATCTGGCTCAATAGTCTCCTGGAATGTTTTTTCCTTGATGACCTCAAGTTCTGCTGTGAATTGAAGAATCATCTTGGGATGTCTTTTGTACTCAGAAAGATGTTCAGTTGCTGGCAATGACCTGAAGGAAAAGCCATGTATACCCACAGTCAGTTACTTCTGCCCACCTCCTTTCTTTTTGCTCCAGGGTTCCCAGCTGAGAATGGCCTTGTACTGGGTTTATGGGAGTTAAGAGGTTGCGGGGCAGGAAGTAGGTTTCGTCTGTGTCAGGGCAACTCAATGTTATAGGCATATACGCAGGACTTAGAGGCAAGGACAGACTTTGAAATGGTTGTGAGTCAGTGTTCATGTCACAAGACTCCAGAATGTGTCAAAAGCTGGAGGGCACAGGTGGGATGGCTATGAGGCTCTCCCACGACGTCAGTGCAGGTAGAGTCTCACCTAACTCTCGAATGTTGTTTAAAGTAGTAA